ACACCAGTATCAAAACCAGACAGACATTACAAGAAAAGTGTAAGCCAATATCCTTCATGAACACAGATGTAAAAATTCTTAATAAAAGCAAGTTGAATTCTGCAGCATATTCTAAAGAATAATACATCCTAACCAAGTGGAGTTAATCACAGAATACAAGGTTGGTTTAACATTTGAAAATGAAATCACTGTAATTCACTGTATTAAGAGAACGAGAGAGGAAAAACCATGGGCTTTCTCAGGTGATAGAGAAAAGGCACTTGATAAAATTCAACACACATTCATATTAAAAACTCAGGAAACTAGGAATATAAAGGAATTTCCTCAACCTGTTATGAAAAATCTACAGCAAACAGTATACTTAATTGTGAAAATCTGAATGTTTTTTCCCTAAAATTGGGAACAAAGCAAAGATTATCTGCTGTCACCACTAATATTGAGTATCATAATGGAAGTCCTGCATAAGGCAGTGAGGTAGGAAAAAGAAGGAAAAGGCATACAGATTGGAAAGGAGGCAATAAAACTGGCTTTATTCACTGTATTCATCAGAGTAATGCCCATTAAAATCATAATGAATACTACTTCACACCCATTCTAAGGTTAAAATTGAAAAGACTGACAATTCCAAACTTGGTACAACCAGTATGGACATCCCTTAAAAAAACTAGAAAGAGAACTACCATGTGATCCAGCTATCCTACTCCTGGGCATATATCCAGAGAAAACCATAATTTGAAAGAACACATGCACCCCGGTCTTCGTGGCAACACTGCTTACAATAGCCAAGACATGGAAGCAACCTGAATGTCCATCAACAGATGAATCGATAAAGAAGATATGGTATGTATATACAATGGAATATTACTCAGCCATAAAAAAGAATGAAATAATACCATTTGCAGTGACATGGATAGACCTAGAGATTATCATACAGAGTAAAGTAAGTCAGACAGAGAAGACAAATATCATATGGTATCACCTATATGTGGAATCTAAAAATATGGTACAAATGAACTTATTTACAAAACAGAAATAGAGTCACAGATATAGAAAACAAACTTATGGTTACCAAGAGGGAAAGGGGGGGAGGGATAAATTGGGAGATTGGGATTGACATATACACACTACTATATATAAAATAGATAATAAGGACCTACTGTATAGCACAGGGAACTCTACTCAATACTCTGTAATGACCTATATGGGAAAAGAATTAAAAAAGAGTGGCTATATATTTATGTCTGATTCACCTTGCTGTACAGCAGAAACTAACACAGTGTTGTAAATCGGCTATACATCAATAAAATTTTTTTAAATAAATAACTGAAATTCCAAGTATTGGTGAGATTATGAAGCTAGCTGGGACTCTCACACAATGCTGATAAGAGTGTAAAATGATACAATCACTTTGGGAAAATTTGCCAGTTTCATATGAAGGTAAAGACATACTTACCATATCTAGTAATTCTACTCCTAGCTGTTTTCCCAAGGGAAATGAAAACTTATGTCAAGTAAGAAGAAAGAGTCTCACTAGAATGTTTATTGCTGCTTTATTTATAATTGTGAAAAACTGGAAGCAACCTAAATGTTCTTCAGGAGATGAACAGCTAAACAAATTGTTGTAGCCACACAGTGGAATACTGCTCAGCAGTAAGAAAGGAACAAACTACTACTACCTAACAACATGAATGATGACTTTCACAAATATTCAGAGTGAAAGAAGCCATATACAAAATGGTACATAATGTATGATTCTATTTATATGCAGTCCTAGAGCAGGCAAAATGAATCTGTCGTGAGCGAAACCAAATCAGTGGTTGCCTCGGGTGGGGGGACTGATTGCAAATATGCTCAAGGTGATGTTTTGGGATGATGGAAATGTTCTACATTTGATTTTTGTGGTGGTTACACAGGTGTGTACGTTTGTCAAAATGCATCATACTGTATTTTTTACGTGGGTATGTTTTATAATATGTAAATTATACCTCAATACAGTTTTCTTTTATGGCACAGCCTTCTGTGACTTTTTTCCCCTTTCTCCCTAAATTCAGATATCTGCTCTTCCTCTGAATTTACCATAGTATCTTGTTTGGTTCTTTCCTACTCCTTTTCTTTTTATCTTTTTGTGTTTGCCTAAGTTATAACTCTTATCAGTTTTGTTTACCCTATAGCACCTTGCTTATTCTAACCTTTCAATACATGTTTGTTAAACTGAGCTAATTTAATGCAAAGAGAGTTATCAGTTATTGTTTTGATTATAGTTCTAAAGTCTGAAAAGAATCATAGTCCTGGATCTTAGCAAGACAAGGCTATAAAGCAGGTAAGAGTTGATATTAGGCATCTTTAGGGCAGTCCTAATTTTACACTTTAGGGCAATCCCATTTTATATTCTGTGGCATTGGCTGGTACACACATAGAAGGTGGGTGCTCCCAGGCCCTGTGGGAAGTTGTCTTTAAGGCAAGACACTCTGTTGGTTGCAAAGACCTGGAGGATTTAGGTAATGTAGACTAAGTAACAATGTATTTGATTCCAGTAATGAATGAAAATTTGATAGAATCACAGAAACTTAGTGCTAGAAGATACCATGGATACCACTTTATCCAACCCATTACTAAACAGACCCAGAGAGGGTAAATAACCTGCCCGACACCACACAGCAAATAAGAGATAGGGTTAAGTCTGGGGCCCACATTTCTGACAAGTCCCTTACCAGAAATTGAGCAAAGTGGAGAAATGGCTGCCTGTGGAAGTTCTAATGAGTTGCTCTTAGACAAAGCTTCCATTAGGTTGGGATTTGGAGTTAAGGAGCAAACAGGATAGGTATTAGAGTCAGTTATTGCTGGGGTAGAACCAAAACTGAACCATGAGTAGGGCCAAGAGTTGACTTATATTTTCCTCGTGATGTCTTTACTTCATTTACCACCGAGAAGTCTGATTTCATTTGTAATTGAAGCCTATTTTGTGTACTTGCTGACAAATTTTCTACAGTAAGAATATACTGTAGCTTGTCAAGGAGGAGTTAGTATGTAACCTAGAATATTGTTGAATTCCACGGGTATGTTAAAACAATCTAAATGGAGCTGATCTCCCTTGTAAACCTTTCCTTCCTTCAATATTCTCTGGTCATGTGTAAATTTATTGGAGTTTGGGGGTGGTAACAGTTGCTATTTTGCATTTCCTTGGTTTGGGAGTTCCTTTTTTAAGGACAATATTAAGCCAGTTTTATAATTAAAGTGATTTTAAGTGGTCATTTTGAGTTTTAATGATGAAGGACATGGAGGTACAAAAGGCAGCTTTGAAAGTTACAGCAAAGCATGCTCCTTAGACGAATCCTTTGAATGAAGGAATAATAGCATGGATGGTGATGATGAAGCTGCTGCTGTTTAATGTATTCTCCACTCTCAGTGTATGGATGCAGCCTCCGAATTTTGCAAAGGAAATAATCATCAGCACAGCATCTCTGCTCTCCTATGGACTGGTCTTTTTGTAAAGCAGCCTCTTGGTTTTCTTAGTAAAGGTATTTTATTTTAAAATGTATCTCTAGACACTTACTCCTGGTAGGCCTGGGAAAATGTAGATTACTTCATGTCTCTTCAAAATTCCTTTCAAAGAAGAGTCAAGCTCAATTTGTGTTTTTGAGATAGAGAAGAAGAGTAGATAGGAGGAAGGAGGAAATCTTTGCTTTGGGGGAAGAAAAAATCTTTCAGTCCTTTGTTGACACCTTAACTTCTGCATTAGTCATATGTCCCTTCCTCCTTGGCCATGGATGGACCAAGGGAATAGCAGCCATTTGCAAGTTTGTAAAGGGACAGTGCAAAGAGAAGAAAACAGCTGATAAAGAAAAATGTAGGGCTCCCACCCCCGTAGGTTTTTACAGTTATATTTTTAGATTGGTCACTGTCTTCTGGATATTTGGCCTTCTGTTTTTGCTCTTTTACTTCACTATTTTTGATGTTGTAAAATACAGTGCTAAATTCCTAGCTCTAATCATGAGATAGTATTCAGAGTCCACCTTATAAAAATGTTACAGTGAGAAGCTGGCGGACACAGGGACACAGTTAATACTGATATTGGAAGGAAAAACCTTTCTTCTACCTACTTGGGTCTGAATGGTGGGGGGCCTGCGAGTTAACTGACAATAGAGAGAGTTACAGGAGAAAAGGCCAAGGGTGGAAGCACTCAGTAATGAGTAACTCACTAAATAGCCAAAGGTAAAGGTTTGTATACTAACTTAACAAAAGGGAGGATTTAGGGCTTCAGAAGATAGAAGGTTGGTTTGTTTGTTTGTTTGCGGTATGCGGGCCTCTCACTGTTGTGGCGGAGCACAGTCTCCAGACGCTCAGGCTCAGCGGCCATGGCTCATGGGCCCAGCTGCTCCGCGGCATGTAGGATCTTCCCAGACCGGGGCACGAACCCGTGTCCTCTGTATCGGCAGGCAGACTCTCAACCACTGCGCCACCAGGGAAGCCCTGATAAAAGGTTTTGATGTGCTTGTTTACACAGTTTTGGGGGAATGTCCTGGTACCCAAGGTCAGTGACTTTCCTGACTAGAGACTTCTGAGTTGGGGAGAGGGGCTGTGGCAGCTGACTCACAAAGCAGGCTTTTAGTCAGATAAGGGAAGTTTAGATAAGATTTCTCTCTGCACCTGCTGTTGGGTTTTTGGTCCCTTCAGTGATTTTTATATATATATATTTGTTTATAGTTTGATGGTTTTTAAAGCATTTTCACGTATCTCACTTATTTCGCACAATATTTTTTAGGTATACAGGGAAAATACTATTATTCCCATTTCAAAGGTAAGGAAACTGAGATTAAGAGAGGTTAAGTATTTGTTCAGAGCCACACAAATAATGACGGTGTCAAGATAAGATGTTAAGGGGTTCACATTTCTCACTACACCCTTGGGGTTCAATTTCAATACTGACACATTGAATAAGTTATTGTCAATCAAGTGCTTTAAAGGTGTCAAGATCGAGTAACATTTTATTTGTTTTGTAGGAGAAGATGGTGTAAACTGGTTCATCAGTGACAAAGACGTTGAGGTAAAATCAAAACAGTTTTGAAGTTATGAATAATAGAATAATAATTTTCTTTGAGGTGTAGTTTCACTTCATTATGATGACTTAATAAGCTTTTTAAAAGTAGCAGCAGTCCAAGTATCTTGTAAGAAAAAGTTTAATTTTAGTCTATGGGTGATTGAATTTTTCAGAAGCCTATTTCAGCCTTGATCAGTCAGTTAATTGCCATAATGATTTAGTCCCCTTTCCCTTTTGTTTCTTCTCTGCTATGGTAAGTCCTCTCAGCCCATTTTGCCTGATACCACTAAAGATCAACACCGGAAATAACTGCTTCTTCAGTGTAAGGAAATGGTTAGTCTATATTTAGGATGTGGCAGGTGTTTGTCTTTGTCAATTATTAGCCTTAATTATGACAGATGGCTAGAAAAGAGAGTAATTTTACAACTTGGTATAAGGAAAATGTTAAGAGATAATTAGATTATGTCTCCTTTTGAGGCCTACTTGGCCAGTTCAGCAGAATAACAAGTAAAAGATGAAAGTTTTTTTCAAAGATGGAATTGTACCAAACAAGATAAAAGCATGGTTGGCATTTAGGTATTCCTCTTTAGATAGTCCGTATGATATGCTTTGCTAATGTTCTCTTGCAAGATACTGGATTTTGGCTAGAATATGGGACAGCTAGAATTGGATCAGTGTAGGCAGAATGGATCTTAAAAGGACTCTAGGGGAAGGAAATTATCTCATTCTCTTAGAAATTAAAATCCAGTTTGTAGGCAGTAACCCTGGGCTGTTCAAGAGAAGGAATGTATTTGGTCACTATGTGGTTTTATAACTTTATAAAGGACAAAATTATAAAAAACACCAACCCCTAACTAAAAATTTAAGCAAGTTTCTCATTCAGAAAAATGTGGTATATATCCAGATATATGTCAGCAATATCTTTGACTCTGAATGCCACTGGAATGTCTAAATGATGCATTTCAGTGCCCCTACTAGACCTGAACCGTAAGTAGAGAAAGATAAAAAAGAAATGGAACCATATGGAGAAGTGTAAAAGAATAGGGGAGATGGGCAGACAAAAAGTAGAGCTGTTTTCATGGCACCCCTTTTAAGTTTTTCTAACTCCTTTTAAGAATACAAAGTTCCCTGTTTCTAAGTTCTAAATTGAACAGATTATGACTGTTAATTCTCTTGAACAGAGTGAAATAATTTTAATTCTTGATCTTTTTTTTCCCTTAGGCACAGATAGGTAAAAAAAGAACATCTGGAAGATGGGCCCACCGATACTATTCAGTCAACAAAAACGTTACCTGTAGAAATTGTGACAAATGTGGCCATTTGTCAAAAAACTGCCCCTTTCCACAAGTATGTGAAATATGTAATGTGTCTTTCCACATTGTTAAAATCAAAATCATAGGGTTGGAACCCTTACAACCTTACAATTCAAATGTTATATAATATATGTGTTAAATTTCATATTACATGTTTATGTAGGTCGCAGCCTAGAGTAGTAGTAAAGAACAATAAATCTACAGCCAGAATCAATTTCAGCATCCCATTAGTAGTTGTACAACCTTAGGCAAATCATTTCACCTTTTGTGCTTCTCTTTTCTTTTCTATAAAATGAGAAGATTGAATCAGATTGATTCCTGAGACTCATTTCACTTCTAAACCTTCTACTTTACGACACGGCTTGTTTCATTGTGGGATAATTTTCATTGTTAGAAAATTATAATTTTAGGCATTTATAAATGTTTATTGATGTAAATTATGTTAAACAGATACATCAGTCTTTGAAATAACACAGAACTCTTAGACATTTCTTTTTCTTTTTTTTTTTTTTTGTGGTACGCGGACCTCTCACTGCTGCGGCCTCTCCCGCTGCGGAGCACAGGCTCCGGACGCGCAGGCTCAGCGGCCATGGCTCACGGGCCCAGCCGCTCTGCGGCATGTGGGATCTTCCCGGACCCGGGCACGAACCCGTGTCCCCCCGCATCGGCAGGCGGACTCTCAACCACTGCGCCACCAGGGAAGCCCCTTAGACATTTCTTGACACTAGTAAGCCCTTAACAAATATTCCTTCCCTTACCAACTTCCTCTCCCAAATGATTGCCTTTCAAATATTTGAGATGGCTCTCTTGTTTCCTCTTTGTCTTTGCCTGGCAAAGCAGCCTCTTTCTGTATCTGTTGCTCCTGTGACTTAGCTTCCAGATCCTCATCATCCTACTTTCCCTCTCAGACACATTCCACTTTGTCAGTGTTCTACAAGACAAGGCATAAGAAATAGATGCCAGATGATAGTACATGCAGACTAAGCCTTTTTGGCAACCAACAGGTTACAGATGGTTTTGTTAAAGCTCTGATTTCAGACATTTTGTTTGATTTTATAATTATGCTCAAGACCTTCATTGTGTCCCCAAATTGGAAATAGCTTTTTATGGAATTATACTGAAAAAGAAACAGTAGTATTCTATTTGAGACTGAAGTATTTTGCTAAAGAGATTTTCTGTTTGTCTGCCACATAGAAAGTCCGCTCCTGTTGCCTCTGCTCCGAGAGAGGACACCTCCAGTATGCCTGTCCGGCCCGCTTTTGCTTAGACTGTTCTTTGCCTATGTCTTCTACTCACAGATGTCTTGAAAGACCTTCCTGGAGAAAACGGTGTGACAGATGTGATATGATAGGCCACTATGCTGATGTGAGTATCCTGCATGTAACTAATTTGTTGGACTTTGGGGGCATTGTGCCAATCTGTAACCATCTGCCAGCCTACTTAAAAGCATGTTTACTATGCACTGTGTATAATGATAGTCATGTCCCTTTGGCCACTGATCATGTAAATCAGTACTCTAATATCTCAGGATAGGGATCCTACTGAATGGGTTCATCAGGAGGCAGCATCAATAAATCTTGTAAACCTGTGCTGGCTTCTTTGGCTTAATGTGCTTGCCAAAGTACAGGTTGTAATTAAAGAGGTATGTAATAAATAACATGTAAAATTTGTGTACCTATTCATTCATAGTTAAATGAAAATATATATATAAACACTTAACAGTTGTATACAAAGGTCTATATGAAGCCTGCCTTGATGCTGCTTATTGGTGGCTCTTGGTGGTATAATATTCTCATGCAAGAAGGACAAGCCACCAATACTTTAAATATGCTTATCTTAGATCTTTAGATTTAAGAAGACAAAACTAACTTAGAAGACATTTCAGTTACTTGTAGCATGTTAAATTTTAGCACATTGTTATTTTAGACGTCATTTTGCATCATATTATAAATGTCTGTGGGATTTTAGTCACAGTTTCAACCAGAAGGGCTTATAGAAATCAGTATCTAAAAAAAAGTAAGAATTTTTTCCCTTTAATTTGTGCTTCCCAAAGACATGATACAAAGCACAAATATTTTTAAAATTTTCCTTATATTGAATTGTACCTAGAGCCTTTTGCTTAAAAAATTAATATGACTTTCTGTTGGGATGAATTTCAGATTAAGACAAACTAGAATATGAATATTTGGTATATGTGTTTCTTGTGTAAATCATAAAAGAATTATTGATTGTAGTTTTTAAAGGATCTTTATAAACAAATCAAAATAGGATCACTGTCCTATAAGTTAATTTTTTTTCCACTTAATTCTTTATGAATGTGTCTCTGTCAGCTCGTAAAGACTACCTTTCTCATGGCTAACTTTTATTCCATTTTTACCAATTTACCCAGCCATATCTCTACCAATACATTTAGATTTATACTGTTACTCATTTTTTTTTTAAGCAAACATTGCTGCTGTAAACACCTTTTTATATATCTGCATACATGTAAGAGTATTTTGGTAAGTCATATTCTAAATGGAATTGTGTAATTAAAGGATATGTACATTTATCTCTGGATAAATATTGTCAGATTATTCTAAAAGATTGTACCAGTGTATCTACTTGCTAGCAGTGTTTAAGAGTACTCTGAACCCTAGCTGTAATCAATCTTTAAAATTTTTGTCCCATCAGATAAGGAGAAAATGATATCTTACTGTTTTAATTTATATTTCTTAGGCCCCTAGTGAGGTTGAATATGAGTCTTAAGACAAGTTATAGAGATAGAAGTTGTCATTTCATTCCAAAGTAGTTTAAACTTATATTTCAATATTTACTAAGTTTTAAAAATAGTAAATTCTAAGTTGTCTTAGTTTTATTCTGTTGTTCTCTTCATTGAGTTGTCAATTATAATTTCTTAGAAAGATTTTCTAGTTTGGACGTTAGGTTTAAAAGCATATTTTTTAACTTCTTTCTTCCAAAGGACTCTTATAGGTATGGTCTAATTTGCGTGTGATAACAGAAGAGGCTCAGACATTGTCATGAGCAGTTTTTTTGAAATAAGAAACTATAGTACAGAACAGTTAAGAATGGTTTGTAAAAGGTTATATAATTAGCTGTGAATTAAATCTATAGCTCATTCTGCTTAACTTCTTAATTTTGGCCTCTAATGTATGTTAAACTCTTTATTTAAAATGGCCTTGAGGATTAATAACCCCAGTGAATATAAGTTTTTAAGATAGGGTTAGACTGTGGCTGACTTCAGAGAAGGCATCACCCTTTCTCCTAAATCTACCAAGACCTACCATTGGGTTTTTTTTGGTTTTTTTTTAATTACATGATGAAAGTTCTGGACATGAATTGATCTTTTCTCAGCCTGCCCACCTGGTATAGAATTCCCTTGGAGCCCAATCCAACCTGGGCTCCACTGACTCCTTCTGAAGAAATTTGAAGTCCTTCCACTGTCCCAGAAGGTCTTCATGAGGATTCACTTGGGAGCAGTTTCATTCTGGCCCCTGGTTGCTGGGACTATTCAGCTATTCCCACACATGCTTTAAATCTGTCTTGAAACCTGGTCCTCCACAGAAAATATTGTTTCCCTTGCAACCTTCTCAAATGCTTGCTGCTCATTCTCTCTTGACCCACATACCTCTGAATTAGGTTGATTAGGATCAGCCTCTTTCTCACCTGCCGTGACTGCTTCTAAATCATTTCTCCTCCCTCTTTGTGTAGGTATCCTTGACTCATTTAAAGCTAAAACCCTCTGACAATACTGTTCTCCACCCTTCTTTGTCATTTTCATCTTCTCACCTATTGGGATTTATGAAGCCCTGGGTAACTATAGATGCCCTAACCTCTTATAAATTAAGGAGATCAAGAAACTTCCATTTTTGCTTTATACATCCCTATAGCCACACCAGAGTCTCTGTAATGCCAGAGTACCAGTTAAATGTGCAAGGAGAATTAGTAATGAAAACTCATGAGTCATACTCACATTCTTGCTATAATGACTCCTGAACTCAGCTTGGAAAGCTCTTTATTTGTTAACTACTATGTAAAAGTATTTGGGTGAAATTCCAGAGTTTTGCAGTGTAAAGGATAGACAGATGACTCAAGGCCTACTAAAGTCTACCTGGATCACTGGTACCTCCCAAAGGAAGAGAATCTGCAGTATGTAAAGAAACCCAATTTTGAATCTACCACAGATTCTCTCCTCTTGCTGATAGCTTTTAAATAAACCAAGAATCTTAAACTGTCTATACACATTTATCTTGCACATACAGTCCCATTCTGTGGGCTATATCTGACATTACCAAGATAATAATAGCTATAATTAGTTGAATATTTACTGTGTTTTAAGTACTGTGCTAAGTTCATTACCTATTAAGGGGGAGTGGGAGTGCTTTGTTCACTGCTGTATCCTCAGTGCTTAGTAGGTGCTCAGTAGATTTTTGTGATTGCACCAGAGTCATTTATGTAATCCTCATTACCATCATATGAAATAGATACTATTTATTATTACTACCATTTTACAAAAGAGAAAACCAGGACATTGTAAGCTTAGGGTTTACCCAAGGTCTCAAAGTTAAAATGATGCTGTACTTCATGAATGTACATAGAGAAAGTTCACTTACTGACAGACTAGACATTGTCAGTTTAACTCCTTCTCAGAAGATCCTCTCAAGTTTCTGTCTTAAACCTGCAGATATTGTGGATCTGATAAACAACTTTGATAATAAACTTATGATATTTAAAATATCAATACATTATAAAATAGATGAAGAAAAATATTTTCCAAATAAAAATAAATATAATTTATTTTAAAAGTTTTCAGCTCTTCAGAGAATTTCTGAGGATCAGCAAAGCATTGTAGACTGTTAATTTTCAGCCACAGAACCAAGTCTGTGATACCATAGAACTGTGCTTCTCACAAAAGACCATCTCAGCCTTGGCAGTCTCTGTTGTTGAGATTGTCACCCTTTTACATTAAAGCATAATGACTGAGTTAATCAGCATCAGATATAATTGCAACCTGAACGTGAATTTTCTTCCTTTCTCCAGCAGTTTTTTCTCAAATTTCCTGCTCAGTCTTCTATCCCAATTCATACTAAATAACTCCTTTAACCATCATTTATAAGAATAAAATGCCATCTATTTGTGGGGCACTCAGCACTTGAGTCACTCCTTTAAGTCAGATTTTTAAATGTAGTGGGAGAAAATAATCCATAGGATATATTTCACTTGATTCCTTTCTTTAAATATTTGATTCTATAAAAAAGAATCTCTTAAGTATCACTGTATACTAAAATATTTTTAGCAACTCGAAAGTTTATTTTAAAAATGAGAACTCAATATAAGCTGTGTAGGCTTTCGCATAGACATTAGTGCCCAGCGAATGTCTCCTCAACAAATATATACATAAAACTGAAAACTAGTATTTTTTTAGTTTAATTTTGGTGATTTTTTTTTTTTAAGTTTAGTTTAATCACGGGGATTTCCAGCACGAAATGCAGAGTACCTAGTACAAGTATCACCTCTTATCCTTTTCACAGTCTTATTGAGATATTACTGGCCAGAAATAAGACTGGCTGGAACACAATTGTTGAGCTGAATAATTAAGCCAAGATTTGACTTAAAGACTTCCTTAATTCAAATATTTGGTTTTGTTTAATAATTATTCATTCTGCCTTTGTTCAAAAACATCTCCACTGTTCCACCATCCAAATAAACTTTCTATATTTATCAAAAATTTGTTGGTTGCCTACTACATGCTAGGCAGTAATCCAAGTACTAAAGAGATAAAGATGAATAAGATATGGTCCTCGCCTTTGTGGAACTCAGAGTATAGTAAGAAAGGCAGATGTAGGGGGCTTCCCTGGCGGCACAGTGGTTGAGAGTCTGCCTGCTGATGCAGGGGACACGGGTTCGTGCCCCGGTCCGGGAAGATCCCACATGCCGCGGAGTGGCTGGGCCCGTGAGCCATGGCCGCTGAGCCTGCACGTCCGGAGCCTGTGCTCCACAACGGGAGAGGCCACAGTAGTGAGAGGCCCGCGTACCGCAAAATTAAAAAATAAATAAATAAATAAATAAAAAAGAAAGGCAGATGTGTAAAAGAATGTAAAAAGTGATGTGTTGGAGATGCATCAAGAATGGTGAAAATTAAATAAGAGAGTATCAGAAGACTAAGCTTTGTGACTTGCAAATAATACATACCTGGAAAGTGTAGAAAATGACCTAGACCGTAGGAGGGAGCCAAGTAACTCTGCCTATAATAACATGTCACCTGTCTTTGGAAATATCAGCTGCAAAGTAATGCCATAGGAATTCTCAATCCAGGTAAGTGAGTTTTCCTGTAATCATATGGACTTGAGACATACATGAGGGTC